TTTTTTTAAAAAAATGTTTTAAGTTATTAATTATTGTGATTTATAATATATATATATATGTATATGGGCTCTAGTAATTCCACATGTCGAGTTAATGGTAGCTTCAACTCCCACTTATATAATAAGAGAAATATATATATATATATGTCACAAATGGAAAAGTCTCAATCTTAAATATTATATATTATACTTGGGCCTAAACTCCCTTTTATTATATAGTAGAATATATATATATATATATATGGGCTCTAGTAATTCCACATGTCAAGTTAATGGGTAGCTTCAACTCCCACTTATATAATAAGAGAAATATATATATATATATGTCACAAATGGAAAAGTCTCAATCTTAAATATTATATATTATACTTGGGCCTAAACTCCCTTTTATTATATAGTAGAATATATATATATATATATATGGGCTCTAGTAATTCCACATGTCAAGTTAATGGGTAGCTTCAACTCCCACTTATATAATAAGAGAATATATATATATATTAGGTGTAGTATTACTTTTGAAGCTTCTTATTCTTTTGAGTTTGGTTATTATTTATGATTTTTTGACATTTCAATCATCGTTTTATCTTCTTATAATGGTTTGTAAGGTTGTCTATCTTTCTTCATTTTTATTTTTCATTATTTCTTTTTCTATATTTTTTATTTCCTTGAGCTAAGGGTCATCAAAAGCATTTTTTGTGAACACTTTACCCAAAATCGACTCCACTTTATAAATTAAACTAAGTATGTCATTATTATCGTAATTAAAATTCATCTCTCAAAGTAGTAGGATAAAATTTTGAGACCTTTTTAAAAAAAAAAGTATGCAAAAGAAAAGTAAAAATAAACCCTAGACTAGTTTAACCAATGATTGATAATTAATTTGTTGAGATAAACATAAGTTTATTTAGACACCACTAAAAATAAAATGACAACTAACTAATTGAAATTAATTTCTAGAAGTTGTAAAATATTTATTTGAGACATTTAAAAATAATTATTTTTAGGTGAAAAAAAGTTCTTTTTTCTTTTTAAAATTAGAGATTAGAAATTAGAAAAGGCTATAGAAAGAGCCAAAGACAAGAAAGGGGAATTGCAGGAGAGAAAACTTTTCTCTTTCTCTCTGCAAAAAAAAAAAGCTTTAATTCTCTCCTGTCAATGGCGGATTTTGTTTCACATATTCATAAAACCTTCCTATCATTTTCCCTTTATTTCTTCTTCTCTAATTTTTAGCCTTTTTTTCTCATTTTTTTAACCCCTTTTTTGGCCTATAATTTCAAGGAAAAAATCAACAATTTTCAGGTGAGGTTCTTTTTTTACTTTCTGCTGGATTTTATTGTTATTTGAGGTTCATAATTGTGTGGGGTTGCTTTATATTTACCCTTTAAATTTTGTTTATTTTTAAAAAAAAATTCCAAAATTGTTGGAGATCTTTTGTCTGAATCTGTGCTTATTATTTTCTTGAAATCATTGAATAATTTTGTTGTATAGCTTGGATTTGATTGTTATATTATTTAAAGATTCAATCTTTTTTGGTTTTTGTCTGATTTTTCAGGTGGATTTGCTGCATTTCATTGTTCTTTAAGCTTTCATTGCTTTTGTATTTCCTTAATTTGTTACCCCTTTTTAAAAAATTAATCTTTTTCTGGAATGAAAAGTATTAGATTTTCACAGAATCTGAATAATTTCCAGGATTCTTGGAGATTTCGTATTCTTGAGAATTTTGATATAACAGCTAGGATTTTGTAGTTTTATGAATAGTAGTATCATATATGAACTATAGACATTTCAAGCATTGTTTATAAAAAAAAAATGGAAAAAAAGTACTTAGTTGTTTAAAGAATCAATTTTTTTTTTCAGGAGTTGATCTTATAAAGTATCATGGGTAATTGCTGTGTGAAACCGGGTAAATCTGCTGAAAAAAAGAACAAAAAGAACAACAGCAAACCCAACCCTTTTTCAATTGATTATGGGGGTACTAAACATGCCTCTGGGAGTGGAAACAAGCTAGTTGTATTAAAAGAGCCAACAAGGCAAAATATACATGATAAGTATGATTTGGGTCGTGAGCTCGGAAGAGGAGAATTTGGGGTTACTTATCTATGTACTGACTTGGAAGGAGGAGAGAAATATGCCTGCAAATCGATATCTAAGAAGAAGCTAAGGACTGCAGTGGATATTGATGATGTTAGGAGAGAGGTTGAGATCATGAAACATTTGCCTGTGCATCCGAATATTGTGACCTTGAAGGATACTTATGAGGATGATAATGCAGTGCACATTGTTATGGAATTGTGTGAGGGTGGGGAGTTGTTTGATCGAATCGTTGCTAGAGGCCACTATACAGAGAGGGCAGCTGCTGGAATTTTGAAGACTGTCGTGGAAGTCGTTCAGGTATAGTTTTTATTAGCTTCTTAGTTCACAATTACCTGCTGTTTTTATTACCTTTCGCTTAGGTTATCTTATTATATCCATTATTTTCAGCATAGTTTCTTCATTACTGTAGTTCCTTTTCATATTGTTTTTATATATGTGTTACTTAGGCTGAGGGTCCATTGGAAACAGCCTCTCTACCTTCACAAGGTAGGGGTAAGGCTGTGTACACACTGCCCTCCCCACACACCACTTGTGGGACTATACTGAGTATGTTGTTGTTGTAGTTCACAATTGATGTCATTTGGTTTTTATGTAGTAACTTGTGATGCTTCTTTTACTGAGTTCTTCAAAGCTTTTGTATGGGTTTTATATCATGATGGAGGTATCCTGTCTTGTTGTTTCGGGTTTTTGTTAAAGAAGTCTGGCAATT